GATACATTTAAAACAGCTATGGGCATGGGAACAACTGGAGGAAAATAGATTACTATTTCTAGTCTTTTACAAATAAAACTAAAGACAATCTACAATTTCATAAGAGAAGATATTTATTTTGCCTTGTCAGATGGATTTCTGTTTCTTTTTTAAGAGCAGTACTATATTTATTGGATGTATTATACATCAAGATATTCTTCAACTATATATCTTAAGAATTACATAATAAAAGCTCAACAATATAGAATATTTATTAAAAAATTAACATATTTTCTATTTGACATTTACATTTTGCCACTGTTAACGAATGAACAATTCCTAATTTGTCGAATATTTGTTAGATTTGATAAAAATCTTTGTTCATTCTAAAGACTTAAATGATCAATTAGAAAAATTCATTTTCATTAATACATGCAGACTTTATTCGAAAGCTAGAAAGATACAAATTCATCTTCTTGATTAGATAAAAATAAATAAGTCAAAGCATTTCTTGTGAGTCTCTTTTAACGGGATATGTCACGATGATATCAATCCCGAGTTTTATTATGAAAAAATAAAATAAACTAAGAAATTGATAACAATAATAACGATGTTGATAGAGAAAAGAAAAAAATCAGTAGTATGTATATCAAGAAGAAGAAAATAATCGATGACAAGATATTCGAAAAGAATATTTAAGATAAAAAGAAAAACCAATGATACATTATATAAAGAATGATTATCGTAGAATATTATCCGTTGCCGTTAAGATTAATTGAACAGAATGAATATAATAGAAATTAAATAAGTAAAGATAGTCTATTAGTAAAAGCTTATTCTTTACTTCCTTCAGTTCATTTACGAAAATTAATTTCACTAAAAACATCTTTTGTTAAAATATTTTCAGCATAATTATGGCCATATGACTAATAAAAATGAATACGAATTGCATTTTGATAATCTTTGTACAATCGTTCATAGTTTGTATTGTTAGGTTTTAGAAAAATTTTGATTTTTTTATTTCCATATTGACTCATTATTTTGAATTAATCGATACTTTTTCTATTTTTCTTTTGATTTTATGTCGCTTTTTATTACGACGAGTAAGACTAGGGTGTGGGTATGAATAAAGAAGATACATCTATTCATACCCACACACCATCGAGAGATAACTGATGCAAATAACAATATATTAAGCTGTAGCGAGAATAAATAATTAACAACACAAAGACTAAACATAAAGATACAAAAAAAAATGAATAGCATAATGAACAATATATATATACATAAAAGAGCAAGAAACACCAATAGATTCTCAGAAGATGAATTTAATCAACGACACTATGAACTCTCTTGATGAAATGAACTAAATCCTGTCTGTAGAAGGAGAGAGAAACAGCACGGTAACGAATGTATTTGAAAGAAAACAAGCAATTTCACATAGAGAAAAACATACACTGCCTTCAACAAAAACACAACATTAACATGTATGCTATATAAAGACAAAGAAGAAGAAGAAGTGGAATGTTATCGTAGACAACATTTTTTCAAAAAAGAGTAACAGAGAAAAAAGAAGCGAGAACGGTATGATTACTGACAGATACCTTCGTCAGCTTTAATCCACAAATGTAAAGAATTGTCTTCATTCCGATAAGTACAATTATTGCTTGAGAGACGTGTACCATGCAGAATATCATCTATGACGCTTGCACTGCAAAAGAAACTTCCATCTAAAACAAATACCCACAGATACATTATGTTACTGATTAAATTTTTCGTTCGAATTCCAGTAGATACTCGGTTTAAGTGTCTGAAAACTGATATTAAACATAATTCAGTGAACATATAGATTAATGACACAACTGTCATGCCACACATTTCACTTCAAAATGAGTGAGAATGAATGGTAGATTCTAGATTATGAGCATGCTATACCGTAATGGTCAGATGTTATTGATTTATGAGTCCTGTTCCCCACTCATTAAATCTTGTTTTATCTTCGAGAAAGTGTGTAAGTATCATTTGCTTTTTGTATAGTATGATGAGACCAAGCGCTTAAAATGAATAGATTCAAATGTCTTCCAATCTTTCAATGCTCTTGGTAGACTATAAAGATGAATCAACCTTTGTCTCACAAGAGGATAAGATACATCACTTTATTCAAACAGCAATATACTGCGATGTTGTCAGACCTTTTGTTTTAATCAATTAAAATAACTTTAAAAAAAAACTGTTCTCAGAATTCTTCTATGTATACACGAGGGTGTCAAACACAATATTTTCGACACTTTGATCAAGTAGCCAAAGAAAAATAAAGAAGAATTATAAGAGTTAGTTTTCCTGATTCAGTTTGAAAGAAGTATGTGAATAAAAGCACATTGTATAATGTTATAGATCATTTCTTTATTTAAAACTTTCTCAGTAAACAAAAGACGAGACTCACTTCTGGATTTTTGCAGAGAGAACTGCGCGCATCAAGGAATGCGTGCATCTATCTCACCCTATGACTAGATTATCATATGGATAAACCGTTCGTTAAAAGCATAACAATTGAAGCTCTTGAGAGGTTTTATAGTGTTTGATAATTTTACCGTCTGTATCAGTAGAGATTATCACTACTAAATGACGAATTTCATAATCTATAGTATTTTGAGCATTCTAATATAACTACTATATTATCTGATTTTATTGTTTTTTATTCTAGAATCACGATTGAACGAATGACTCCGAAAGATGTGAAAAGTACACAACTTGATATAATTAATATTATACTCACTCGAATTTTTAACATAGAACATGCCACTTTTGAGATGCAACAATGCGTTAATCACACTAGTCAGCTGGCGTATTTCATCGATCGGCATGTTAAGATGTTCAACATGGGCAAATAATCGAAAAAAAATTTCAGAAGAATGAGATAACATGCAGTTTTTCAGAAGTCCAAACCCACATCCAAAAGTACGACCACCGTACCGCGATGATATCGTGAGCGTCTTTATCTGATTGAATGAGTGACGACCGCTATCGAAGTTTTCTAGTTTCAGATTGTGTGGGATGGTGAGATGAGTCACAGAAGGCATAATTTCGAGCAGTCTGAAGAGGAAGTTTGCCGAAACCAGTGCTTGGCCGAGATTCAAGTGTTGAAGGGATGGGAGATGAAATAGAGTCTGAATTTTTGGGATCTCTTCATGTCCCGTGACGAGACAATGATAGCTACCTCCACGCAGTTCGAGTGTTTGAACATTAATCAGGTTGTACGATTGCAAGCAACTTTTATCCAACGAAAAATTTAACTTTTCTTCTGGTACAACATCGTCTGTTATATAATCAAATGGTCTTTTCAAACTTTCGCTCGGGCTACGACCTAGAGCTTCCAACTGCAGCATCAGATGATTGACATAGCGACCAAAATCATATGAG